GCCTAGGGAAACAGAAATAAATTGGATTGGCTGGAATGTGAAGTTCAAGGTGAAGAGAGGCTGGGAGCTGAGAAGAGCAGATAATAAAGGATTTTATATACCCTGCTTCATGCCTGGGCTATCCAAAGGAGAGCCAGTGAAAAGTTTTAAATAAGGGAGAGTTGTGATCAGACTTAAGTTTTGTAAAATATCACTCTGGTGGCCACGCAGAGATGATTGGAAAGAGGAGAAGGCAAGAGGCTAGAAACCCAAAAAAGTTATTGCAGCCATTGCTGAGAACCTGAATTAAGGCAATGGCAGAGGGAATAGAAAAGAAAGGTTGGACTTAAGAATTAGAAACAGCAAAGCCCAGTGGCAAATTGGTTATAGTGTATGAGAGAGAAAGCAGAATCTTGGAGGCTGGCAGATGTGTTCACATCAGTTAAGATTAGAGGACACTGCTATTGTAGCATTATTTACAATAGCCAAGATATGGAAGCAACCTAAGTGCCTATCAACAGATGAATGAAGAAAGTATGGTACATATGTACAATGAAATACTACTCAGCCATAAAAAAAGGTGGAATCTTTTTTTGCAACAGTCTGGGTGGACCTTGAGGGTATTATGCTAAGTGAAATAAGTCAGACAGAGAAAGACAAATACCATATGAGTTCACTCAGATGTGGAATATAAAAAACAGACAAACAAGCAAACCAAAGCCAAAATAAATGAGCAAATCAAACCAAACACAAACAAACACATAGATACAGAGACAAGAGTAGTGGTTACTAGAGGGGAAAGGGCAGGATGGTGAGGGTGAAATGGATAAAGGGGATCAACTGTATGGTGACAGATGGAAACTAAATTTTTGGTGGTGAGCGTACTGCAGGGTATACAGAAGCAGAAATATATTATTGTACACATGAACCTTATATAATGTTATAAACCAATGTTACCTCAATAAAAATAAATCCAAAAAAGAAAAATTTAAAAATTAGAAATGATAAACAAAGATCAGGGAGAGCTTTAAAACAAAGAAGGTCGTGGAAGTTGGGGAAAGTGATGTGATCAATTTTGGCATGTGAGATAAAGCTGAAGCACCTGGAGGATAAAGATGGAAATCTCCCATTTGGGCCTGGAAATTAGCAGAGGGGAATAATTTAGGGGTCAGTGACATGTATAGGGATATTTTAAACAACAGGAACTTTTTTGACTGTTGAGGGAAAAGGTTTAAAGTAAAAAGGTGGCTAAGGATAGAATCCTCAAGAACATCAGCGTCTAAGGGGAGACACAGGAAAGCAAACCGACAACTGACACTGAGAATATATGGTCAGAGATGTAAGACAAGTAGCAGGATAAAGAGTAGCCTCCAAAGTCAAAGAGGGAAAAGAGATGGTGTAATCAAAAGTAACAAAGGTCATAATAAGAGCCAGTAAGATAAGGATTTAGACACATTTGTGAGTTGTGTGAGCTGGAGGTCATTGTTGATCAGAGAGAGGACAATTTTAATGATACAGTGATAGGGTGTGGGATGGGTAGAAATCAGATTATAGTGGTTTGAAGTGGATAGAAGGTGAGGGAGTACAGACACGTTTATAGATTACTCTTCCAGTGAGCTTGACTTAGCCTGAATACCCAAACCCTCCCTCTTCCACATGAGGTGAGGCCATGCCCACACTAACCTGTGGACTAGAGTAGATGGAGGTGGATGATGAAAACAGGTGAGTGTTGAGAGCTGAGAGTGAAGTGGGGAAGTGACTCCAGTAAGCCAGATAAGGGAGTTTGAAAGGGTCCCCAAAAGGTAAGGGGCCAGGGCCAGTGTCTAAAGCTGGATTAGGGGAGCAAGACAGACATCTAGGTAGGGAGTTTGTAGGCAGGTCCTCAAGAAGAATGAGACTGTGTGTGCCACTGGGTCTGCAGTTCAAGGGATTGATCAGGGCTCCAGGCTCAGTGGGGAAGGAGGGAAACTAATAAACTGAGAGAATGGGAAGGGTGAAGGCCTAGTTGTCATGGCAAAGTCTCAGGGCAGATGTAGTAGAAGGAGGGCAGTTTGAGAGCAAAGAGACTAATAGGTGATGGTTTCTTATATATGAAGATTTCAGACAGAGAATGGTTCCAGCTGCCATAGTCTGGTGCACAGCCATGGGAGTGGTCAGATGACGGGGTGAAAAATGCAGGCATTTGAAACTGAGGTACTCAAGGTTCTGGGAAGCTACAGTGTTGGTGGAATCCTCCTCAAGGTCACTGAAGTCACCCAGGATGATGGCAGAAATTGGATTCATGGAAAAGAACATGGCTAAATCCTCAATGAACATAGAGGAGTGTCCAGGAGATGACAATCATCAAAAAAAAAAGTAAGGGGACAGCAAAGCTAGATGGGATAAACTTCAAAGCAGGAATGAGTTTTACACAAGAGTGTGCATGTAATAGACATTGGGAAGAATGTCTTCAACTGCTTTTGGACCTGCCATACATTTGGGAGGGCTGCAAAGGAAGTGGTGTCCTTGAGGTAGGGACAGGAAGTGGAAAGTTCCATTTCAGGGAAAGTATGTAAGAAGAAAAGATTGTCTTTATCATATACATGTAAAAACGTTATGCTCTCAGAAACTAAGGATCATCTTTTATTTTCTACTAAGACTGTTAAATTATAGGTTTCCAGAGAATCACAAAAGACAGTTGTACTGACTGGGTAGTATTTAATAGACCAGGTCTTAAATAAGAAGCCATGAACATAAACATTTAAAACCAAATATATAATAAATAATCATTAAGTTATAAAGTACATAGTTCATATTAAAACTAAATTCTCAGAGGCAAATGTAAATATAACAGAGCAATAATATAGAATAATAATGCTACAATTTTGTGTCCAAAGAAGACACTTTCAGCTAAAATGCTAAAAATAATGATTAATTTTCCCTGAACTACCATGACCGACAGAAACCTTTCTTTCTTTCTCTCCTCCTTCCTTCCTTGCTTTCTTTTCTTTTCCCTCTTTCTTTCTTTCCCTTTCTTTCTTCCTTCCTTTCTTTCTTTCTTTTCTTTCTTTCTCTCTCTCTTTCTCTCTCTCTTTCTCTCTCTCTCTTTGTTTCTTTCTTTCTTTCCTTCCTTCCTTTCTTTTATCTTTTTTGGAACATTTCCCTTGTTCCTGCAGCAAGTGTTGCTACAAATGCTGTTGAAATAATGTTGAGTAAATGATCCAATTCAGTAGAAAGCTTTACTCAGAAGTATGGTCAGATGTTCCTGTAAGAGTGTCTAGAACTTTAGAGACTCATAGACACATAAAGCTCCAAAAAAGGCTGAATATCCCATAGAGATTAAGTCCAACCCTCATCCTACAGATAAAGAAATGGAAACCCAAAAAGTTTAAGCAAGTGACCACGACTTCACATCCAGTGAGATTTCAGGTCTCCTGTATCACCATCCATAGGTGAACAGCAGTGTTTATGGGTCAGCCTCAGACCTTCCGGAGGGCTGGCTAAGTCTTGAACACAGAACAGTGAAGATGGAGCAGTTCGAGTCTCACTTCTTCATCTTGTTTATTCTGATGCATTGCTTTCCTTGGGATATTGCCAGGATCATTACCCGAGTCTTTAAGCTCAGTTTAGTGAAGGCTCTTAGCCAACACCCCATTAAGTTAATTTTACTTTTAAGGTAGAATCTCTGGTCAAAAGAATTAGAACAGAGATTTTTGACAGTAGACACACCAAAATAAATACATTATTTTAAATATAAAATCACAGTGTCAAAGAAGTCAACAACTATAAAGCCAGAAACAAGAAATAAGGACTCCATCTTTTCCAAGCCTGCTTTCCACTTTTATCCCAACAACCTGGCCTGATGCTGAGGCAGGCTTTAGATGCATATTATCATCGTGATACACATATTTACACGATTCCTTTGTAACAACATTTAAAAATTTTAAAACAGAATACCTTGTTTCTGATGATAAAACATTACATTTCATTGAAATAATTGATTCCTAATACATGTTTTAGAACCATAAATTATCTGTACTTGTTTAAAAAATATTTTTAAGTAGATCATCTTTGCTCTTAGAGCATAAAGCATTTCCCATACAACATCCTCTTGCACACTCACAGCCACTTTAACAATAAGAGATTCTCAAATAGCTTATAACATTCTAGTGAAAATTTTATTTTTCTAGCGTTTTTAACTTTATATTTAAATAAACTGCTGGAGTTGATATGAAATGGCAGTTAGATCAGGTTGCTTGTTTTTGCTACCCATGGTTGAAAGATTGGGATGCTTATGCAAAAGTCTGTTTTCTACTAGGAGTCCTGAACTCCTGATTTGTCTCCTGATTTTGACTTTATATAGATGATTGAATTTGCCTTATGCAAAGCATACAAACGCAAAGTGTCTGTCAATTTTAAAAGTAGAAAGAAAGGCAGAAAGAAAGAAGGAAACAGACATTTGGCATTAATAACTCACTCCCATACAATCATTATAACAATTTGAGAAGAGAGCTATAAGACTTTTTAAAATTCTGTTTGGTTCCAGACGGTCGTCTAATGCATGTCCCTCTATAGATTTTAATTGCCACTTCCACAAGCTTAGAATGTTAGCTTATAAAGGGACTTGAGTTGGGGAAGGTACTAGTATACCCACTTAGAGAAAAAAAAAGACCAAAAGAGTCTATTCCATAAATACATTCATATGTATAGTATTTAAATATTTTTGACAGATTCTAATAAGGGAGTCAGACTTTTTGGAGCCATCTGATAAAGCTATCCCCCTGGTACATAAATAAATCATGTATTTATATGTTAGACATTCTGAGATAAAATAAAACCTCTTCAGATATAGATTTTAAACAGTTTTCATTTCCTTAAAAGAATGAACACTTCAACTTTGATTTTCACCCTATGCTTCTATATTCTCCAGATTGAGTGAAGGTATGTAACCTTTTAAGTTATGATCATCAGAAACCTCATTCTTGTCATAACCAAGATCAAGGTTAATCAATAAATTCCCAAACTGTATTTTTGGTTAAAATTTTTAAGCTTCTCCAAGAAATGGCATAGTTGGCAGTAAGATAAAGTAAAAACCTTAGAGGTCACAGAAATCTATAACACAGGAAATCAGACTCGAATTGAGTAGAAAGTTTTTTCAAGTTGACCAAACACAGAGCATGTGGATCAAACTGAAGTATTGCATAGTGATTTTGGAGGAATAATCCTGACCTTGAACACTTATCTGAGTTTTTTTCCCCCATCACTAATATATTGTACTCCTCCATTTGGAATACCAAGAACTGAGTTTCACTACTGTGTTAGAGTATGAAATATAGTGTCCAGCTTCAAGTGAGATCTTTAGGAACCTTCATATTCCGTGTGTTCTAGGAGAGATGCTGATGAATCATCTGTGGAAATAGAATACCATGAGTAACCTCAACATAAGAAGCAATCTGGATAAAGATGAAAGTCAAATATAATTTAAGTTACATACCTTTTGGATGAGTGATTTTAGTCTTTCTAGGAATTCTTTGGGTGGTTTTTTCTCATAAGAATCACATGAAGGACATGTCTAGAAATCAATGAAAGAGTAATAATCTTCTTTAAAGCTTTTTTCCTATGTAATAAAATGTTCATTCAAATTTTATGTTTTCCAATTAGAGACATAAATCATGTTCACTGAAAAACTTTGAGAAGCACATAAAATTGTTCAGAAAATAACAATGAGAAAAATCACTTGTAATCCCATCATTAGAGATAACCACTGCAGTGTTTTGATATGTATCCTCCCAGTAATTTTTTCTTTGCATTTGTGTTATTTACACTGGCTATTAATTTGCCTTTGTTTTAACACAACATAACACAAGCATTTCCTACATATTAAATATTCTTCAAAAATATATCCCATAATGTTTGCTTTGTATTCCTATATAGGATTGAAGTATTACTATTTTGGGGCATGTAGATTGCTTCTGACTTTTCACTGTTGTATACAATACTGCAATGGACATCTCTGAGTAATTTTTCATGTACATCTTTATTTTATTCAATAAATTACTAAAAGTAGAATTACTAAATTAAAGGGATAAAAAAAGTTAAGGCTTTTGATATACGTTATAAAACTTTTACCTCTATTCACATAGAACATTCTTACCATTATTGTGCATTGTTAAAAATTTTAATTGAAAAAAATAGGATTTCCTATCTTAACTTGCATTTATTTGATTATGAAGAGATTAAACAATTCTTCACATGTGCATTGCCCACTTATATTTCTTTTTTTAAAAAATTCTTGGTTTATATTCTTTACCCTTATTCCTGTTTAGATACCAAACACCAGGCCATTGCCTGCTGTTTAGCATCTCTAATGCCGGTTTGATGTTGTGGTGAGAGATATTTGACTGAAAGATAAGAGATATAAGTTCTAATGCTCATTCTGACACTTAATATTCGTGGAGCTTGGGACAAGTCACTTAATATCCTTGGTCTCACCTTCCCATCTATCAAATGAAGGTGCTTAACTGGATAATTCTATGTTCAGTGCCAATATTACCATTTTATGGTCTTTGATATTGAGTTTCAAAGACATGCTCAACTCTTTTCTTCTTTGAGGAAAGTTTTAGAGGGATACTTTTCACATTGCAACCTGGTCAAGCAATCAAAGGAAATAAAAATCATTTTGATATTGTAATTAAGATTTCATTTGAATCACATGTGAAATTCCTTAGAGGAGAGAGAACTGATAGAAAAATTTCTAGTAATTTATCTTATGTGTTTATCCACTGGTTTTGATTAATGCCTGAATTACTCATGAGATTATCTGCATTGCTCATGAGTTGGCGTAAGAGGAAATATACAAGAGGTTCTCAAGGACCACAAAACTAGGGATTATTGAAATTCCCCAGCCAAATAATGGGGTCTACCCATTCAAATGTAGTACTGACTCTGCAGTTGTACAGGACAGTAATAATATTCTTTAAAAGAGGAAGGCAATGTTTGAGATTTATCCTGGTGTCTTGTAGGCTACCTCTTTTCTTTCAGGAAAACTGGGATCTAGCTCCTGTTAATAAGGATACAAGTTATATGTGATCATATAATGAGAGCAGAATATTTTTTAACTCTTAAGTCACACTTGGATTCTCTGCCTAATGACTTCCTCACCTTGAAAGCTATATTAATTATTCCAGCTACCAGGGGCTGTTAGCAAATTCTAATTGGATTTCTGGACACTTTCAAGTTTGTGGACTAGGAAGTGGTGACTTTGCTTCTCAAAACACACTCTATATGATAAGGCATAACATGTAGCTGGAAGGAAGGCACTGGAGGCTCTGGCTGTGTGTGTGTGTGTGTGTGTGTGTGTGTGTGTGTGTGTGCGCGTGATGTAATAGATATAGTTAATAAGTACAAATAAGTTAGATGACAAATGACAGTCTTACCAGTTTATGTTTCTGTCTTTTCCCTGCATTTGTGGGAGGTAGTTTCCTCTTCAGCTGTTTAGTTAATACATTAATTATCTTTTCATTGTCTCCGGTATTTGCTGACTTTAGTTGGATCTTCTGAAAACATGAAAACGCCGACCGCTCACAGTGTCTCTGAAAGAGAAATAATTTGTATAGATGTTAATGAAAGTTATTCAGAAAGTAAAAATGACCTTCCCAATCCTCTTTTCCTACTTCTACTGCAGTGTCTTGGGTCACATTCATTTTAGCAGACAAATGAGGAATGATTTCATGTCCTACTTAATCTTTGGGCTAAAGAGCAGACTCTTGTGATATAAAATTTCCCCACGTTAGGGGAGAGAGGACATTTGCCTGTCTCACAGACAGGAAGAGGGAGCTTTGCTTTGCCACAGTTCTTTATTCCTAATGTCATTTTGAGGTCTGGGTGTTGGGCAGGACTTGGTATTTCATAAGGGAGAGTTAGATTGGTTTTAGAACACACTTTATGAATTATGAGGCTCTAAGAGACATTGTGACTGGTGGCAGCTTTGGGTGAGTTACGCTGTAGTGTGATTAAGAATCGTTTCATTTGTCTTTTGTTTCCCTCTGCAATGTACGTAGGAGTATCTAACAATGACATACATGTCTTGAGCAGCACCTTATCCTGTACAATGCCTGGCATAGTGTCTTGTTGCTAGTGAGTGCTCAACAAATATTTGTGGAGTGGACAAATGAAGTAAGTGAGTTAAAGCCCCTCCTTTGGGGAAAGGAAGTGGGTGCCTACCTCTGATGGCACATTCCACGCCTAAGATTCAGTACACCTGCTGTAGACCATGTGTGACTTTTCTAAAATCCTATTCACACTCTCAAGTCCATTAGGGTGGGATCTGCCTGAATCAAGCAGTCAAGGAACAGAATTTGAGACATGCCTCCCCCGCAATGGGCAGGAAGACTGTCCCTTAGAACGTAAGAGTAATGTCTCAGAGCATGGAGAAGTGGGCAGATCAAGGATCAAAAACTTGACTCTTGCTTTAATCAAATAACCAGTGACCAGTGAATAAGTCAAAATGTTAGAAGTTGAACTGAAAATGAAATGGAATTGATTGGAAGAACAAAATTTATACTGATTTGTTGAAAACATTTTAATGCTGATCTAAGAACTTGTATCCAGGTTACTTTTTTCTTTCAGCAGATGTCTGTATATGATGCTATCCACCGCCCTAAAGTTGCTATATCTTCATTTCACCGGTGTATATGGAAGTTACCGCCATGTATACAGAAGCCTCAATTTTTCTCAGTTCCTACAAGGGCCGTCCTATATACAACAATACTACCTGAGTCTTCCCATGACAATCAGCTGAAAATAGCATCTGGCCTGCTTTGCATTTTCCAACCTATATGCTTACCCATTATGAATGTTGATTAATAACATGCATCTTTAAGACACAACCCCATCAGATTTGCTTTGCATACATGGCCACAAGCCGAGAACCAGCTTATCTGGTTTCCTTATATCAGAGCAGCTGGCCTCTCATAAGGGCGAGATAGTGTCCTTTACATATGTTTGCCAAAATGCTTATTTAATAGAAACTATATATAAATGTTAATTATAGCACTTTTTTTTCCTTGAAAACCACATGTTCATGTTTGTTGAAGTTTTTTCTTTTCTCTTCTTTTGACCACAACCGGCTTAACTTACTGGAAAAAAATAATATTCATATTTAAAGAGGTAAATTTTCCAGCTGAAACTGAAAACGCTAACTGTTTCATCCGTGATGATCTGAGAAACCAGCATTTCTCACAGAGACCCATTTTGCTGAGTTAACATTTACATGTGGATGTTGAAAGAAAATTAGGTTCCAAAGAACTATAGGGGCCTACCAAATGAACTCCCTTGAGACAGGTATCGCCAAGAGTGGTCAACACAAGCAAGCAAAGATTTGGCACCTGAGAAAGCCTTTCTGAAAGCCTCTGAATGGCATCTGGACACCAGTGCCTGTATTGATGGGGCTGTGCTTTCTCTCCTGCCCTTCCTTGTTCACCTGTGTCAATAGACATTGGAATTTTGCTTTGTGCTTTCTGCAAGCAGCAGAGCTATCCCTGGCAATCTGTGGTCCAGGACAAATACCTGCTGGATTTGGCTTCAGATGCACAGTAAAGGCAGCCTCAATAAGGAATAGAAGCAAAGGAGCTGTTCTGCTAAACTGCCTTAAAGATGTGTTGAGAAGAGGAGTAGAGAGATTAACTTCGATTCAGGCAGCTTAGGTGCCCTGTCACTCAGGATGACCCCGAGTTCACGTGCAGCACTACTATCTGGGAGCAGAGCCACTGTTTTGCTTTGCTGTGCCTTGCAGACTTAGAGGGCAAGGCTTTGTTTCCCTCATCCTTTAACACCTGGAAACATGAGGAGTTATCCGTCCTACATTAGTTCTGCAGAATCGAGGCAGCAGTAAGGAAAACAAAAGGAAGAGTAACAAACCACTCTTTTTAGCTAGTCAAGTGCTGCTTTTGCAAGGAGGTGCACTTGGCTTTGTTGATTTGCAATTGAATATTTGAAAATATTTGCTTCCTTACAATTTATTTTTGACCTACTTAACTTTTCTTTCTTTTTTTCTTTTTTTTGCAAAGAAAGCCCTGGCCATTCACATACGAAGTCTTGCTAACTGGGTAAAATTACCTTTGTCCTGCATACAAACTAGGTTTATATCAGGGTTCCTCAACAGTGGCACTGTTGACATTTTCAGATGGATAATTCTTGGTTGTCAGGACTGTCCTGTGCATTCTAGAATGTTTAGTAGCATCCCTGGCCTCTACCTACTAGATGCCAGTGGAAACCCCCCACACACAATTGTGCCAACTAGAAATTTTTCCAGACAATGCCAAATGTTCTCAGAGGGCAAAGTCACCACCAGATGAAGACTACTGATTATATGATTAGAAAGAGAAAGAAAGATGCCTGGTGAGGCCAATTAGCAACCTTAGATGATCACTATATATCAACATTTATATGCAACATTTAAATGAACTTATTTTCATTAAACTTGTTAATCTTTTTAACTCTTTATAGACTCTGCTTTGATGCTAGCCCTGAAAAACTTGACATAATGCTACTGTGGCCTTGAACTATTTTCTTCTCTCCTGGGTTTGCCTGCCAGCATAGCTTAAAGATCTTAGTAATACCATTATTCACTTGTATCATAGCCAGCATTGCTTGATCAGATTATCAGATAGATACAGTGTCACTGAGACAAAATCCTGTCATTATAAGATAAAAAAGATCTCTCTTTAACAAAGCATATAAAGGAAGTACCCACTGGATCAACTCAAGTTAGAAGGTGGGATATCTAACTTGGAAAGTTAGAGACTGAGCTAAGAATCTCCCCAAAGGACTCTAACCACAGCAGTTAGACAAAAGGCGTGAGATGCTAAAAAAGATATGTTTTGATAATTAGGGCATTAAGAAATAGTCTTACTTGTTGGAAAAGTCTTTCCAATGAGCTGAATATGCTACTTTCATTTTAGGTATTGCTTATTAGAAAAGGACCTAGTAAATGAGAGTGGTTAGGTTCAGAGCTAGAGAGTGAATTTTAGAGAAAAGCAATAGTTGTGACTCATTCACTTTCTAAACTTCTACACAGTCATTTACGATAATTGTTTTCTTTGCAATGTATCCTCATAAGCCTCCCCTTTGTAGTGTCCTAATTACTGGTAACACTTTTATAGTTATTCTAATTTATGCAGTTAAAGGTCTGTGACACTGAAAACATTTCCCCCAATTGTGTTTATATCCTCAGGGTACCAAACCTGAAGACTAGATCGAAGTTACCAAGGAAAAGAGCAGCACATAGCACACTTGAACTATATGCTAGGATAGGCCTCTTCTTCCTGGGACCTAATGGATTTAAATGGCTTAAGAGAACAGGATGACTTGTTGTAAACCGTCCTTTCAAAAGACCTCACCGAAGGCCAAAGACAAGACTCATTGAGGCCAAGGTACATGGGAATTATATTCTAAAGGATGGCCTTGATTTCCACACTACCATTCTTCCATGCTGTGCTATAATGTATTCCTTCTTTCTTCCTTCCCTTCTTTTTTTATTCCTTCCTTTCTCTCTCTGTCTCCCTTTCTTCTTTCCTCCCTTTCTTTCTTTTTTTCTCTTTCTTTCTTCCTTTCTAGTTATTAAAAGGTGAATTCTGCTTCTGTGGTATGTGTCTATATTTCGTACATAGGTTTACAAAGAGGGCTCAAGAACTTTCATGCACAAGGATTCTTAAAATGTAATTAGTTGGTCATTGTTCAGAAAATGATCATAGTGTAGATTTATTTTCTAGTTTTGTATTCTATCTCAACAATACTACTTGAGAATACTCTTAGAGATATTTGGAGATAAAAGTATATCTTATAAGGTATGTAGTGTTTTATTGGTTGGCTTGTTGGTGAACCAATGAATATTTGAGCAAAATAGAAATAACTATTTTACCAATTATTAAACACCAAAATTCATGGAAATTAAGTATATTTCTAAATAATCATGTTAATGCCTCTCTTAATTGGATTTAAAAACATGTCAAATTTATTTTCACAAATAAATTCAACTGGTCTTACCTTTACATCTTCTGGAGCTGGCAGAAATTCAGGGTCCTAGAGCAAAAGAAAATTAGTTCTGAGTTATTTATATAAGTCAAAAAGCTCCTTTTATAGTAATTGAAGAATATTATTTAAATTTTGTTGTGACAAATATGGCCTTACCAAGTCATTCACATAGTTTTTCAGCTGATCAACAATATCTATAAGTTGACGCAGTCTAATCAAGAGGCGATCTTGCCCTTGGAAGCTTGATTTATGGGCCACTGTCCCTGAGAAGAGGACCATCAGGCAGATGACTATTCTCTCCATGTTGCCAGGTCTGGATCTCGTAAGTACTAGTAGAGCAAGACCTTGGTCTCAGTTTTCACCTCAGTTTGTGAACAGGCTGTCAGTAAAGCTATCTATTTATTCATCCTTCAGGGAGAGATAAAGCCCTCCCATTGCAGCCTGGAAATCTTTGTAAAATGGATGAATGTGAGTAACTCTTTTTTCTTTTCCGCTGGCTAGGTATACGTGTGCATGTGCTAATACGCGGGGGCAGGGATTGATGGAGTCAACGAAATGTGCCCCATCTGCATCTTAGACAGGAAAAAGAGAAATGGGTGAATTCCAATTTTCAGCATGAATCAAGAAGTGTGCACAGTAAATAAAAGGTACTACAAGACTTCAAAGAAGTAAACAAAATACTTTGATGTCTCCTGCTGTGCCTCCCTGGCATCTTACCTGTTCTCCCTGACAGTCATAAGGGCACTTCAATAATGAGTAAAGTGGCAACATGTGCTTTCTTGCAGGATTTTTTCTTGTGGTAGTAACTAGGCTTTTTGACTGAAATCGTCCAGTATTCCATCATAAAGGTAGGAGGAGAGCTACCTTTTAGGAAGTTTTAAATATCAGGGGTATTTTCCAAATTAGCAAGAATATTTTAGGTTCTTAATCAGGTTAAATGGTTTAAAGTAGAATGTGCTCCAACTCTCCTCCAAAGCATCCTTAAGTAACATTAATCTCAGCTTCTAACATTTTACTTAACAATCTGATTTATACATATCATCTTATCCCCCAATCAAGATCTCACTCTACCTTCATTCAAAAGAAAGAAAAAAAAGAAACTCTGTAATGTCTATCTCTTCTATATAATGCATCCGTTAAATGAATGAAAAGTGCTAATACTCATTCCTCTCTAAACCAAAATTTTATTTCAAACAGCAAAATCCAAAAATACCCATAAGTGACTCTTCTTCTCTTCGGGTGGTGTTACTTATTATTTTCTCTGGGTATGAACAACACATTTCTAACTATGACAGATAGAGGTTAATAAAAAGCTCAAAGTCCAGAAGTGGTTTTATCATCCTCCTCTCTGCTGCTTCTCCTCTCCCTGCTACTCTTCACTCATTTGAGAAAGCTGAATACGATATTCCAGAAACATAGAAGTAGTATTGTAGCTAGTCAACTAGGCCTTACAAATAAAACTCTTGACTATAGATTTTGTTTATCCATTTATTTCTTCATCTGTTTCATCACAAGCTTACAGCCATACTTTTTTCTAAAATGTTATCTGGCTAAGATAAATTGGACTTTGGACTTGATTTGCTTTGAAGGTTGTTTGTAATCTTTTTACCATGAAATAAAGGTATCAAGAGTATCCAGGTTTGGTCTTAAAGAGTAGATAAAAATTCTTACCAAAGATCAAGAAGTCCTCCCTATAATCATTAAATTCCATAAGGGAGGGTTCATGTGTAAACCCATGAAATACATATGGACTTGGGGTTGCCAGTTGGCACCTCAACATTGCCTGCATCACCTTTGTGCATGCTTTCTCTATCTGCTAGAGAGATGTGAGTCTCCTTGAAGACACTAACCACAGTGTTCAAGAGCTCAATTTCTAAAGCAAAGTGCTTTAATTCAAATCCAGGCCATAACAATTAATTGTACATATGACCCTGGATATGTTATTGCAAAAAGAAGGTAAGTATAGAATCTAATCATAGGGTGTGATGAGGCTTAAATAGACATTCCAAGTAAAAGGGCCAAGTACAGCACACAATAAAATCCCAGAAGATTTGTGTGCTGACCGTGGATGAGGGTAGAGAGGAGAATTTATAGAAGCCTGGAGACTAACGGATCCATGGAAGGAAGAACATGGGCAGGTCATCCGAAATACAAGGGTGTTCCTCTGCTGGTCATGAAAAGGTCAAAAGTCTTTGGTGCTGCTTAGAGAGAATCACTCATCCCGACTCTGGAGTGCCTCACCACCACCCTAGACACCCCAGTTACTCCCTGAGACCTCCCAGCCCTCTGCAATCCCTCAGCCAGCACGCCAGGATCTCCAAGGTCCCACTCTAGCCTTAGGACCCAAGAGCTTTCTGAGTCAGATCCCCTGCTTTAAGTGGCATTTCAGTTGTTAAGCATTTTGAATATCACTGCTGGTATAGTAGGCTGAGTAATAATGGCACCCCAAAGATGTACACAACCTCATCCCTGGAACCTGTGAATATGTTACCATCACAGGTGACAAAAGGGACTTTACAGATGTGATTAAATTAAGGATCCTGAGATAATCCAGATTCTCCTCGGTTATCCGTGTGGCCCAATATAATCACAAGGGTCCTTATAAGAGGAAGGCAGGAGTGTCAGAGTCAAAGAAGATGTGATGCCAGAAGCCGAGGTCTGAGTGATATGGGGCTAGAAGCCAAAGAATATAGGTAGCCTCTAGAAGCTGGGAAAGATGGGGAACAGGTTCTTCCCTAGAGCCTCCAGAAAGAATGCAGCTAACACCTCAGTTTTAGCCCCATTAAGCTCATTTTGGACTTCTGAAATCCAGAACTGTATAATAATGAATTTGTGTTGTTTTAAGCCACTGATTTTGTGGTAATTTGTTACAGTAGCTGTAGGAACATTACATACCTAGGTATGGAATTGTTACTCTTGGAAGAAGGGTGGGAAAGAGGAAAGGGTGATAAGGAGAGAACTAGTAAAGGCTGGAATTTGGTTTGTTGGGCTTTGGGGGGTGCAGGTAGAGGGGACAAGGAATCATGAAGAAGAGAGGGAAGTAAAATTAGTGTAACTACCATGGGGTATGGGATATTAGGGAGAAGAATGTATAATGAGGACTTTCCTGAAAGTCTCGGTGTATTATAACAGCTTCTTCCTGGCACTGAGAAGGCTTGCTCAGGAGTGACAGTGTGTTTCAAAGTTATGGAGCCCAATTTGCATTGCACTTGAATTTATCACTGTGTTGAGACAGAACTTAGGGTGGGAGTAAAGAGGCTCAGATTTACTTGAGTTATGTATTCTGCTTAGAAATACTAACTTATTGCTACCTTTGCAGCATCATTTCATTGGGGTGTTAATGTATTTTTACTCTTTAAATTATAATCTTTTTTATTATTTAGATTCAGTCAGTCCTGCCGTTAACACTTGTAAGGAAAATGAGAGTTTATTTCACTGTGACTAAGATACTAGGGCACAATTTGAGTATAACAAGAACTTTGTGTTTCCTTATATGCGATTTTGTCTGCAAGAAATACTAGGTGAATGCAGAATCCTGCATCCAACCGAACCGAGCCATATAGGAATGTACAAAATGTACACACACCTCCAACACCCACCAGTCACCTCAGTTTACTGTGTGTGTGATGAGCCCCACCTGTCCACATCTGGTGTTCCATCCTGGGAACCCTCTGTTGCCATTTCTCAATAGCTGGTAGCTGCAACCTCCACGAACAAACTTCAGGTCTTTTTCTAGGTAAAATGCCGTATTTATTGTAGTATTTATGTGTTTCTTAACCATTTAACATGTGCAAGACTGCTGTCTTTTTTATTAGGTTCCTGTCATCTTTTTAATGTGTCACTGACAAAGTTTTAGTGTTGTGCCCCAATCCCATTTCCCCCATAAGCTCTGTGGTTGTTATTGTGCGATTTTATATAGTGTAGTTGATTTTTAGAAAAGTGTATGTCACAGTGTACTGGAACTGACTCTATTTTGTCTGGAAGTGTCACACTTAAGTCTCAACAGCATCTAGATACATCCAGGTAAAGAGCAAGACTAGGATAAAGTATTTATTCCTAAGAAAGGAGAAAAGGGGGACGAGGGAGGAAGGCAGAAAGAATGAAAAACAAACTCTTTCTTATTTTTACACATGGCTTATCTGAGCTCAGATTTCAAAAACCCTGGTGGTACCGCTCCTCCCCTGGCCCCTCCCCATTAGCACAGGGAAGCTCATCTTGGCCTCCATGAGCCTCCTGAAGTTATTTGCAAAATGTTGTGTTTATGTTTGTGGGAAGAAGAAAGCCTTAAGTTTCATTCTCTTCTCCAAGGAAATATCAGGCAGCTGCTGTTTTTGTTTTCTAGGTTCCAGAGACTTCTGTGAAGGGCAGTGCGATCCACGCTGCTTCAGCACGTCCACAGCACTGTGCACAAGAGCGACAGCTCCAGACTTTCTGTACAGGACAAGTGAAGGGACAGCAGTCTGGCTGAAGTTACACTTGTGTAGTGAGCACCCTGCTTTTACTTAGCTGCCATGTTTATTTGGTACCTTGGAGTGAGGTGTTGGGTTCTGCTAGATGCCTTCTTTCCAGGAAGATAACCCAGGTCGTCACCATGAAAGCATGAAATTTTAGTCACCCACCCGAGGGGATTTGTGGACATATTTCAAGAATTTCTCGAATGGACTGTGCTTATAGACCCCCTGGTCAGTGTAGGAAGGAGGCCAGGGCACTGAAGGAAGGCTTCCAGCAGGGAGAGCAGGCTGAAGGTGAGAGGAATAAAGGGAAGGAGGGGTTGAAGTCTGAAAATGAATGCTGCTAGGTCATGGGGAAAGATGTGCCAGGTCTAAAACAGCGCTGGTCACTCTGCACCCAACTCTTCTGCCCTGTCTATACCGCTCTTCCTTGTGACCGCTGGGTGCCAAATACTCCCTTTCTGCTTTCACTTGCTTTGGCCGCTCATGGGTAGGATTAGATGTCCTGCCTGGCAAACTCTGCAAAGAGAGGTCTCCGGTGTTTAGAGTGATATATGTTATTATAATATGTGCCACTCTGACATGCCAAAGGTATTCAAACAGGTGGCTTGTCTATAGACAACTATGACACCCATCAATGAGGCTAGAGATCAGATGTCCATCATTCCACGACCATCAGGCATAAAGGATGGAGAAAAAGAACCAGAAGATCCAAACTGTACACCCAAGTTCCATCCTGACCCCACAGCACGAGATGTGACATGTTCCACTGGACTCAAGGCCTGCACCTGTTTCCTTCCCTAGGGTGAGGGGCTGCTAAAAACATCTTCCGTCTTGACCTTGCAGCTCCCAACACATGGTCATGAAAATAAAGAAGTACACCATTGGCCTTTGCTGTGTCCTCTTCCTAAGTTGTCTGCTGAGTTCCTCATTCATAGGAACCTCCTCCCCACGTTCTCCAAGGGGCGGCATCAGGATCTCAGAGAGAGGAGTCTGCAGGTTGAATGCCACCCTCATTCTGGACGGTTATTTCTGTTTCTAGGGATGAGGATCATTTTTTGGAAAATCACTACTTTTCATCGTTGTATTTACAAATCTAATACATGTGTGTCATAAAACAAAGAATTCAAAGAACATATAATTGTGTAAAGTAAAAAGCAAAATTTTAAATTGCTCTCTTTTCTTCCCTAATTTTCACTTGCTGGGGGCACTCTTGAGAGTTTACAAAGTATCGTTATAGACTCTTTTCCTATGTACTTAGAACAACAGAGAAGCATAGATATAGATACATACATATTGAAGGAAGTAGAATTATAAATGGACATAAAGAAGTACAGAAAAAGAAATATAAAGATATAGACATAGAAAAAATGTGCTTTTTTACATAAAAATTTAATCTTACCATACATATTCTACAACTTTCCTTTTTCACTCAACAATATGTCAGAGACAGCAGTCCGTACAGTACTCACACAGGGCTATCTCATTTAAATAGGTAGGTTGATATTCCATTGTATGGCTGTATTATGATTTATCTATTTATAACCCTGCTGATAGACATTTAGAGTGTTTCCAATTTTTATCCCCTACAAACAGTGCTGCAGTGAACATCCTTGAACATCTATGTCTTTAGCATATGTGAACTATATTTCTTTTAGGTACATATCCCACATTTCACGTCCTGAGTGGAAAGATTACATCCTTTTAAAAATTTGATAGAAACTGCCAAATTGCCCTCCGACCTATCATACCAGTTTATATTCCCACCAGCAGAAGAGTCTCTTTTCCCACTCCATTCTCACAAACACATTTTTTTATAAATACTTTATTCATTTTTTATTTTTTTAAATTAATTAATTAATTAATTGGTTGCATCGGGTCTTAGTTGCAGCAGGTGGGCTCCTTAGTTGCAGCTCGCCAGCTTCTTAGTTGTGGCATGTGAACTCTCAGTTACGGCGTGCATGTGGGATCTAGTTCCCTGACCAGGTATCAAACCCAGGCCCCCTGCATTGGGAGCGCGCAGTCTTATCCACTGTGCCTCCAGGGAAGTCCCTCATAAACACTTTATATTGTGAATATTTTAGATGTTAGCCATTATGCTAAGGCAAAAAAAAAAAGGCAAAAAAAAATTAGTATCCTATCATTGATTTGCCTTTCTTTGATCAATAATTAAGTTTGGCATATTTCATATCTCTATTATCAGTGGTTTTTTGTTTTTCTTCTGTGAAAAGCCTTGTTCATATTCTTTGCCCATCTATTGGGTTGTTTCTTACCTGTAAAGGCTCTTTTTCTCTTATAGATATGTTCAACATGTTTAAATTATTTTCTCTGTGGTGTCTTTTGCCACACAGAGATTTTGTTTTTATGTTACTGGATCTGAGAATCTTACGTTTTATGACATAAGCTCCTATTGGATATCAAAAATGTCTCTCCTTCCATAATAATAAATGGTAGAAATTGGTTTAATCTTCCTCTTGCTTGAGAAATCCTAATGCCAAGGAGTCACTATGAATTTAGGAGTACTTTTAAATGAATTTGCATTTAATTCATCACAAGACTAGTTACATACTTTTTTGAAAGTATGAATAATACATGTATGGTTGAAAATGATTTAGTTTATAAACAGTGGCCCACACATCACTGGATTCATGGCACCTGAATGCCATCATTTTAGAACAAAGTTGGATATGATATATAATTATTATGTAAGTCTAATCTTATACCACACCCAAGGGGACAAAGCACTGCAGAATCCTAACATGGCATCCGAGTCATCAATTGTCAATTGTGTTTGCTACACTTTTAGTGCTGAGTGTTTTATTTTACTTAGAGTCTTCAAATATGGATTCTCCATGTACAACGTACACGGTAGCTCTATAATCAAAATTGATTGATTAACAAAGTGGACAACAGGAAAACAGTCTCTGAGATTTGCTCAGTGGACTCAAAGGTTGCCCTGAAATCAGCCTTTAAACTGAAAAATAGTTACACCTGAGAGCCACTTCTGTCACTAATAAAGGGGGTGGGGTATCTCTGGGAAAAGACCTTGGACCAGTCGAAAAGATACTAATACTAATAATTATTAGAGCAAACACTTATATAGTTAAGTGCTTTACAGACATTATCTCATTTAAAGCACCAACATGAGATGAGGTACTATGATTATCCCTCCTTACAGATGAGGAAATCAAGGCACAACAAAGTTGAAGTGATTGGAGGACAACTGTTTGCAGAGCTTGACCATTTCTCTCCACATAAGGAGACGGCCACTGGTGCCAAGGCCATTGGGTTATAACAGAACAGCCTCTGCAGTTCGTGAGACCCCATAATGGGATTAAACCGCAATGGTGATGCTTCTGACATGTGGATTTGGAGTGAGGTGAGGAGTCCTTCTGCAGAATAATTCTTGGTGGTTTCCAGAATGTAAATGTATACCTTGTCAGAGTTAATTAAATAATCAGCTTCCGATCTGGGTTGGAATATCCAATTGCCTGTCTTTTATTTTACCCAACCTGGTCCAGTGTAAGATTTGACTTTTTATTACACTAAGTGTAATAATTTTCTGGCATTTTATACCCTTACAGGAAGAGAGAAAGAAGTGAATAAACCTTGCAATCATTTGGATCATGAATAGCACAGACAAAGTCAATCAGGAAAATCAGCTATCTTGACAACTTAATGGCCAAAATGTGATTAAGTTATTTACATGTATTTAATCAATTATTGTTCATTTGCCATGTTTTTCAAGCCTTCTCAGAACACTCATCTTCTGCTCCAGTGAGCTTCCACAACTTTAAAATAGACACTGAGGGGGCAATCGGTACAGAGGAAGACAAAAGAAACGTGCTTCCAAAGAGAGCCAACTAAAATTAAATCTTCATGAAATTAAGAGATGGAAGCCTCAGTGTTTTGGTATATCCACAGTTAAGTCATCACAGGGCACGTCAGTATTTAAAAACAGTTGTCTGTTACTTCTGCCATCTGTATATGTATCACCTGGAAGCTTTAATGGCATGACAGGGATGAGGGATTCCTGCCCTTGACTTGATTTTCATCCAGGCCTCAGAACGACTGCTTTGATCCTTGCTACTACGTTCAGAGAATAATTTTTAATGGGGTTAGTGTTCAGGTCAACATTTATTTTTATTTATTTATTTTTACTTTTTATTGGAATATAGTTGATTTACAATGTTGTGTTAGTTTCTGCTGTTCAGCAAAGTGAATCAGTTATACATATACTTATATCCATGCTTTTTTAGATTCTTTCCTCATGTAGGTCATTACAGAGTATTGAGTAGAGTTCCCTGTGCTATACAGTAGGTTCTTATTAGTTATCTATTTTATATGTAGTAGTGTGTATATGTCAATCCCAATCTCCCAGTTTATCCCTCCCCCCTTTCCCACCCCCAGTAATGATAAGTTTGTTTTCTACATCTGTGACTCTATTTCTGTTTTGTAAATAAGTTCATTTGTACCATTTTTTTAGATTCCACATATAAGTGATACCATATGATATTTGTCTTTCTCTGTCTGACTTACTTCACTCAGTATGACAACCTCTAGGTCCATCCATGTCACTACAAATGGCATTGTGTCATTCTTTTTATGGCTGAGTAATATTCCATTGTATATATGTACCACATCTCCTTTATCCATTCCTCTGTTGATGGAGATTTAGGTTGCTCCCATGTCCTCGCTATTGTAAATAGAGCTGCAGTGAACATTGAGGTGCATGTATCTTTTTGAATTATGGCTTTCTTCGGATATATGCCCAGGAGTGGGATTGCTGGATCATATGGTAGCTCTATTTTTAGTTTTTTAAGGAACTTCCATACTGTTCTCCATAATGGTTGTACCAGTTTACATTCCCACCAACAGTGTAGGAGGGTTCCCTTTTCTCCACATCCTCTCCAGCATTGTTTGTAGATTTTTTGATGATGGCCATTCTGACTGGTGTGAGGTGATACCTTATGGTAGTTTTGATTTGCATTTCTCTAGTATTTAGCGATACAGGTCAATGTTTAGGATGGAGACCTTAGAAATGTAAGGATTAAGGTGTCTAGAGAAGGTCCTCAGTAATTATGGAGAACAATGACCCCAGCAGCCCACAATCCAAGTGAACCACAATACCTAGAAAAGTTTTGAGTGTCCACCTCTCCCTCCTTTGATCTCCTCCTGGCTTTCTCTCTGGATCTCTCTCTTCCCCTTTTCTCTTTTGTTGCTCATTCACTCCCAGTTTCTCCTCCTCTTTTCTTCTCTCTCCCTGGCTCTGTTTTCTTTCATCCTAGTTTGTTTTTTGTTCAAATCCTCACACCATGTATGTTTCTCATAAACTCATAACTAACACACAATAATAGTTTATTAAATTTCACTTATTATTGGGTGGAGGCTTCCTGAGAAAGAGCTCAAAGAGGGATTCAAGAAAAAGACATTAGAATTAAAAGTCCTTGACAGCAGAAAGCTTTATGTGGAACAAAAGTGTGACATCCTTCACACTGTGTCCTCTAAGAGCATTAAACTACATCTGGGGAGGGTCATGAGGTGACTTGATTGAGATGGAAGGATGGTCTCAGTCACATGTGACAGATTGGAAGGAGTTTGAAGACCCAAGTGGAGGAAGATGAGAAAAGTACATTGAAAATATGTTCTGTGCAGTGCATGTGTTGGGCACTAAGTAATGCCACTAAGGTGGCATTCGGTGAAATGCCACGAATAAAGTGACATTTCAATAAGGTGAAATTTGACAGGGTTTTGTGTGATTAACAAACATCCATAGGAGTTTTAGAGACTCATTATCTCAGCTACGACAAGGAAGTGATATTGCTGCTCTGAAAGGACTCCTTGGGGGGGCTTCCCTGCAGGTGAAGGGGAGGGAAAGTAGGCAGGGCTTTGTGCCTCTCCACCCCTGCTTCAATCAGAGAAAATCTTCTTTTATTTGTTTTATACATTGCGTCCTGTGTAAGATTTAGTTTGAAAAAAGGTTTACCCACTAGGGAAAAAAAAGAAACAGTTTTAAAGTGACTGATGGTGTTCCCTATTTGTAGAGCCCAGGGTGGTGGTATCA